GTTCAGATCTTTTTCCTGGCCTCCACACTAAATACATCCACCTAAGCAATTGCCTTCTGGACCTTGCTACTTCTCAAATTTACCACATCTAAAGGTAATCAATCTCTCCTTTTCCCAACCTTGTTTGTTCCCTCTGCAATTATACCCATCTTGGTTGACAGCAATTCCATTCTTCCAAGTGCCTTAACTAAGAACGTGTAAGTTTTTCTTGCATCTTCTTTCCCTTAAAACTTTATGTACAATAAGTCACAAATTTTAACTCTGCTTTCAAAATTTAAGAATTCAAGCACAATGTCTAGTACCTCCAACCCAGTAAAAACCTCCATTATCTCTCATCTGGATTACTGAAAGCTAATCATCTCCCTACTTCTACCCTTGCCCCAGGTGTTGGCTCTTCTAACACAGTAGCCAGGGTCAGCCTTTAGGTCTTGCAATGTCTCCTTCTACTTCAGGAAAAAGCCAAAAGTTTTCTAATGGCCTAAGACTCTATTACTCTCATTACGGTGCTCATGCCTTAGGTCTTTCCCAGCCCAAACCCTCGGCATAACTTATTCCCACCCCTCCAGGCCTCTGCTCAAATGGCAATTTCTGTATGATTCAAACGCTTCCTTACTTCAACCTTCGTGAACTCCCACTGTCCCACTTTTTGTTGCCACCATTTCCCTCACAGTATTGAATAACACTATTTACTTGACAAGGTGACCCTCCTTTTTGGATAATTGTTTATTCTTCAATACTACATCAAAATGGGACAACTGGCAGGTTTTTAGAGGCTAGCTGTAATGTAGAATCTGAACTACAAAGGAAAATGTCAATTTTCCACAGCTATATTAAAATCCATTGGTCTATCTAATACTACAAATCGATCTTTTACTTATTTATGACTCCACTGTAACATATATTGGTCATTTGAAAAATACTGGTTCAGTGGATTAAGCAGGTCTCCATATGTTGATACATTTTATCAATATAATATTATTTACACTTTCTTAATTGATATTATTGACATTGTTATCTCATCAGAAATATCCTTAGGCATTAGGAAGCTGTCACACTGGAGATGGTGGGTCAATTCAAGATTTTAAAAATCTAATTTTTACTTAAAAACTAGTTTTAAAAACTAGTTTAATCATTGACAACAAATAATATGAGTGTTTTTCTTTAAAACTCTTCCTTTTGAGAAAATATCTGCCAAAAGGGTCAAGTCAAAACAGTCTCTCAATAGTTCTTTTTTTTTTTTTTTTTAATATTTATTTTTTAGTTCTCGGCAGACACATCATCTCTGTTTGTATGTGGTGCTGAGGATCGAACCCGGGCCGCACGCATACCAGGCGAGTGTGTTACCACTTCAGCCACATCCCCAGCCCCTCAATAGTTCTTTTAAGTAAGTCTGTTTCCTCTAGGAAAAAAAGAGATTAATTCGGCTTTCAACTGAAGACAAATACTGAACCACACTTTGGAATGCAGGAATAGGCTTTAGGCCCATTTCCCATTTTGACACAGTGAATGTTAAATAAAGATGTGAATACCAGGGTCAAGATTTAATAAAATTAATAATTATTACCCCCTCAAGAACACAAACTGGCCTTTCAGTTGTGTTTTTTAATTTCAACTGCTCCAAGATGAAGAAGACAATGACTACTAGTTCAGTCATGTGCTGCTGCCCTCACACAGCATAGCTGTTACACCACCAGTGCAAACTTCAACACATTTGTGAAAGGCAAACAAGGCCTTAGTATTTTACTTTTTACCTTATTTTTATGTAGGGCTGAGGTTGCCTAATATGTGCAAGGGGCACATAAAATAAAGGTTATTGTGTCCACCTACAACGATTTAAAAATACCAAAATACCAGGGAGCCCAGCCCCAGCTCCAGCCCCAGCCCCAGGCCCAGCCCCAGCCCCAGCCAGTATTTGAATGAAAATAGTTTTAACCTATCAGACCACCAAAAGGGTCTTGAGAATTCTCAGGAGCCCCAGGCCTACACTGCTGCGCTACACTAATCCATTTATAGGAAATAGCTTCTTTGAGAACATTCTATATCAGGATAAGCAATTCCCCCAAGTTTTCTAATCTATTGGTAAGAATGAAAGAATATTTTTAGAAGGAAAAAAAAGGGATATCTGAAAGTTTGTGTCTCCTCAAAATTCATATTCAAATCCTACCCATTAAGGTAACAGTTCAGGATGGGCTGGGCCCTTGGGAGGTGATTAGGTTGGGATCGGTGCCCTATAAAAGAAGAGAGCTAGCTAGGCCCTTCCACTATGAGGACACAGTGAGAAAGTACAGTCCGTAAGAAAGAAAACCCTCACCAGACATAAGAATCATACCTTAATCTAGGCTCTAGAACTATGAGAAATGTTTGCTGCTTATAAGTGACCTGACTTACAGTACTGTATCACAGCAGCTCAAACGGACTAAGACGCAGGAAAAGGAGAGGTAGTAAAAATTGAGAAAATGGGAAGAGGGGGAAAAAAAGCATGAACAAAGTATAGTGGAAATAATCTATATAAACTATACTTTAAAATACCCTAATTCTGCCTTGAGCATACAAAGAAGTAGATGAAATTAATTTAACAAAAATCATAACATAGGAGTTTCTTATTAAATTAAGTGTTTAATAAGTAAAAGAATTCTGATACTAAAATAAACAATTTAATAGATAATCTGCAATAGTACTAACTACAATTACCTAACCAAGGACCTTACAAACTCTGAATATTAACTCTGGCAAAAGCATAATGAGACCAAAGGGTGTCTTAAAGAAAGCACGAGTTATGCATGTGAGTGTGTCACCCAGACCCAAGGTCCAGTGCTGATCTGCTTCAAATGTCCCGATTTAAAAGTACATTTTAGAGATATAGGAATAAAAAAGGAAGGATCACAGCTGAGGTTGTGGCTCAGTGGCAGAGTGCTTGCCCACAACCTGTGAGGCACCAGGTTCAAGCCCCAGCACCACATAATAAGTAAAATAAAGGCATTCTGTTCAACTACAAAAAAAAGACTATCTGAATCAGTCCCTTCAAAATATGGAAAAATACTGAGATATAAGTATTTGGAAGATCCTAATCCAAACTGGAAAATTAGTGCAATAATGCTAATATTTATTTAAAATATATGTGCTCTATTTTTAACCACACTTGAGGGCTGGGGTTGTGGCTCAGCATTAGAGCCCTTGCCTAGCACGTGTGAAGCACTGGGTTGGATCCTTGGCACCACATAAAAATAAAATAAAGGTTATTGTGTCCACCTACAACTAAAACAAATATTAAAAACAACAACAACAATATTTGATATATGAATCCTCAATGTAGAGAGACAGAAATGTTAGAAGCTAGAGAAAGGTCTTAGATATCAAATAGCACAATATCATTTTACAGATGAAGAAATGAAAATCAAAAAGTTTGTCCATTTTTTACCCAAATTAGGGAGGGGAAAAAAAAGTGGCCAGAATTGGGTCTGTGATCTCTTAACCTTCAGGTGTCACAATCACATCTATTTACATGACAAAAAATTACTTGCATGACAAGACATCTTTACTGTTAAAGAACATATATAATACAACTGGATTAAAAAATAAATAAAAAGATTTATGGGGCAATAAAACATTTCAGAAATATGGAAAGCAAACTGGATCTCACAAATTAATAGAAAATGTTTTTCTGACAGAATAGTGATTGGCCTATAAATGAAGTACAATAAATATTTGTTGGATGAATGTGTGCCAACTAAGAAAGTACTGCCATCATTGTAAATAGAGTCCACATGTCCAACTCGAAGCAAGACAACATAAATAGAACTCCGTATTTAATATTCTTAAAGTGGCTGATCAGGAAACAAATGATAGTCTTCAAAGATATGATGTTTTACATGGTTACATAAGTGAAAAAGTGTCTTAACACAATTCACCCGTAACGATTTTTTAATAAAATTAATCCTACAGATAAAAGTAGCACTAAAAATTGCTATAATTGACAGCGCGTGGGGCACGCCGATGATCCTAGCGACTTGGGAAGCTGAGGCAGGAGGATCCCAAGTTTAAGGCCAGCCTCAACAATTTAATTAGACCTGTCTCAATATAAAAGGGAAGGGGGGCGCTGGGGTGTAGTTCAATGGTACAGCGCCCCCAGATTCAATTCCCGGGACCCAAAATAATCAAAACAAAACWAAAATGGCTATAATTCTCCAAATAATTTGTAAGGAACATATCTAACGGGGAAACTAAGCAAAATGGCTGTAGCTCCCGGGCTGGCAACCAGGTAGTGCTCATCTTGTGCACACCCACTGTAACTACCGACCTCTTTATTTGACCTCTCTCTACCCCACTTTCTCCTTTGAGCAGCAGAAAAATAGCGAGTTTGTGCAAGAGGACGGGTCTGCCCAGGGGTGGCGGGGGGACCTGACTTCAAGGGCAACGCCGGTTTGCACRACGTCCCTCAACTCGGAAGGAAATTTCCAAGAGCTCAGGAATAACCCACAGCTCCCAMGGGCTAGAGAACGCCAGCGCCTCGGCGGCCCCAGCCCCTCCGGCGGCCCCGAGCGCCGCCCCCGCCTGGCGGGGCCCGGAAACCGCCGCCCGAGGTCCGAGGCGGGGCGTGCGCGACGTGCGGAGGCTCAGCCCGAGCCCCGCCGGGCCGAGGCCAAGGCGGCCCCGGCGCCCATTTTGTCTTCGGCCTCCGCATTGCCCGCCCGGTACCCCTGGGCACTGCGACCCCCGCAAGGTCCGGGGCTGGGCCCCCACCGGCGCCACATCCCGGACATCCCAAGGCCGAGGGGCCCGGTCTGATCCTGGGATCCGGATCCGAGATCTGAGTCGTCCTCGGCCGCGCAGGCCTGCGGACCTGGCCCCCGCCTCAGCCGCTCCGCAGCCCGAGCATCGCCCGGGCTCCATCCYGGGCCTCCCCGCCCGGGCCTCGCCTCCCTCCCCGCGCAAGGGCTGGAGCGTCCCCGGCCCTCAGCCTCGCTCCCAGCCCCCGGCTGCACGCCCCGTCTGGACCTTACCCCCCAGCAAACAGATGCACCAGCGTGTCCCTCTGGCTCATTCTCTCTCCTGCATGTCCTCCGGGCGCTGAGGCGGGACGCGGATCCAGGTGCCCGCTATGGCCGGCGGCTTCGGTCCCCGAAGGAGCCGCACGATGCCCCCGGGACAGCGAGGGGAGCTGGCGGAGTCGCAGCTGCAAAAGGAACCCTGCGCAGCGCTCCCTGCCGCGCTGCAGCTGCGCCGCCGCTCGCTCTTAGGGCGCGCGGAGCGGGGCGTGGAAAGTCCTGAGTCCCTACATAAACAGAGACTCCCATTGGCTCCAGCGGAGTGACGTCACGGGAGCGGCATGCCTCTTTCACGTGATCGCTAAGAGGTTCCTCAATGAAAGGGGCCGCGAGGCGGGGCCAGAGCGCGTGCCCSGAGGATAGTAGGTCGCGGCGCCCCCGCACCTATTCCTCTAACCCGGAAGGCTGCGTCGCGCCTCCTGGGCCTGCGCTGAGCGCCCGGCAGATCGGGGCCCGCTCTCCCCCACCAGGAGCCAGGAAAAACCTGGGTGCGGAGCCCACAAGTACATATACTTTTGAAAAAAATTAAACGGCTTTATGACCCAGTCATTCCGCTGTCAGGCATTTACTTGAGAATAACACACAATGCTTGAAAAGGCTTGTGCAAAGATACTCATGCACAGCATCACAAAGGTATAGTATTGCAAGCATGCCTTGTAGTAGGAAAACTTGGGGGGAATCTTTGGGGAATGGAGAGAGAAATCATGGAACATTCCTTCTATGGAATAGTATGCAATGGTGACGGGTAAATATGGAGAAAAAAATCTTGAAGACGTAGTAAGTAAAAGGCAAATAAATTAAAGGTTTGTTGTAGAAAGAATAAACTGTCCATTTACTCATTATATGGATCAATAAATGTTTCTTATATGTATACATAGGAGGGTCAACATCAGTGGGAAAGACAATTATTTCTCCAGAACAGTGGTTAAAATTTTTAAATTTTTGTTAGTAATTATTTCTGAGACGTGCAGACAAGTCCAGAAAATAATACCAGACACCCAATGCTCATCATCCAGACTGAACACATTTCAATATTTTTACCTCTTTACCCATACAACTGCCCTTCCACCTTCAAGGCCTCACTTTTTGCCACCCGCTGGAATTCTCCAGGACCCACCTTCCTTTTCTTCCAGGGTCAATTCATGAAGGCTGAGCTGATGGCTTTATTTGTGTTCCTTATGGGCTCCTAAATTCCTACAAAATGTTCAGACCTCAAGTGCTCATCTACACCACCTTAAAGTATTAAGTGTGTTAAAATATTTAAAGCACTTAAAACAGTGCTACGTAAGTGCTAGCTGGAATTATTGTTTGTGTTCTTTTACTGCTTTGTATTCTTTTGTTTGCTTTTTAAGAAACAAGAGTCTAAGTTTCCAAGGCTGGCCTCAAACTCCTGGGCTCCAGGAATCATCCCACCTCAGCCTTTCCTGGACATGGGATCTACAGGTGTATGCCCCTTTCCCTGCTCTCTATTCTTTGTGACAGAAATAGCAGCTCGTATTTCTTTAGTACTCACAAAAGTTCTAGGCTCTAAGTGAAACATTTTATAACATTCTCTTATTGTACTCTCACTAATCTATGAGGTAAACAATATAATTACCCTAGTTTCACATGAGGAAACAAATGGCTTTAGGATAATTTTGTGCCTTGCCCAAGATTATCAGTTCATCCCAGAGAAGATTGGACTTGAATTCTGTAAAATCTGATTCCAGAGTTTCAGTTGGCAATGTAATCGCTGCCCATTAGAGGGAGAGATCTGGGTAAAAATAGAAAAATAGAAACAAAAATTGATACCACTGGCCATTGCCAAAAAACAGTTACATTTATATAAAAGCTTTATTGAGATACAATCCTCATCAAATTCACTTTAAACTGCGTGACCTAATGGGTTTTAATATATTTTCATGGTTGTGCAAATATCACTGCCACCTAATTCCAGAATAATTTCCTCATCCCAAAAGCAACCCTGTTCCTTGTTAGCAGTGACTCCCATTCCCCTTCTCTTCCCTGGAACCCACACATGTATTTTCTATTTCTATAGAGATAGAAAATGAATGATTAAATGAATCCTCCACTCACTGTGTGGTCTTTTTGTCTGGTTTCTTTCAGTGAACAATGTCTTCTAAGTTTATTCATATTGTAGCATGTATCAGTACTTTAGTCCTTTTCATGACAATTTTGTTTGTCCATTCGCAATGGATGGACTTGTGGGTTATTTCCACTTCGAAGCTATCAAATAATGCTGCCACGAATAATTGTGTACAAGTTTTTCCATAGGCATACATTTTCAGTTTCTCCTGAGTATATACCAAAGAGTGCAGCTTTTAGGTCATCTGGTAATTCAACATTTAAACTTTTGAGAAACTGTCAAACTTTTCCGAAACACCATTTCAGGTGAATTTCTTTTAAGGTAATAGCTGTTGGTCCACGTTTTTTGACCTGCCGTAAGAATTATGTTTAATGTTTTTATGAAGTTTCTGCAACTGGTTAGAAGGGAGTCGAAGTTCTTCTTCAAGGCAGTAACGATTATTGCCTTGAGCAAGGACAATTCGTAAGTGGCCGTTTCCTCTTGAACCTCGTTCAGATGCCACTGTGGAAGCAGACTCTGCCCTTGCAAGTTCAGGTCACAGGTGTGGGTGTGGTTGCTGCAGGCCTCCTTCTTGCCGGGATTGGAGGGTTGCGTTGTCACCCATGCTTGCTGCGATTCCTCCGCAAAGCCTCCTGCAGCTCTTTTATAATCTTCCTTCCTTTTTCGTCCTGGCTGGAGTACACCGCGGCGAGATTCCTTCGTGATCAGCCCTTGCTCCTGGCACACATCAGCCTCTAAAGGCTCGTGCAGGAGGAGGACCTTTGGGAAGTGGGTGGGGCTGAGACCGCACTCCTCCAATCAGACGCATCTTCACCTCCGAGCGTCCCCGTTTCTGCCTGCCCAGACGTCTTCTGGGAGTTGTAGTTTCTAAGTGGCTATGGGAAAAAGGTTAGTCTCGGTCAGGGTGGTCACAACCCCAAACCTTCCTCTAAACAAAACAAGCTTCCTGTGAAGTAAGGGCGGATCTGGTTTTGCAGATTGGTTCTGTTTTCTAATTTTATGTGCTAAAGGCTTAGAGACGACCCTAAACGATTCTCTCGGTGTGTGAGGGGGTGGGGGGCATGCTAGAGAGCGTAGGTGGACTGATGCCCGCTTGCCCTCTGCTAGTCCTCCAGGTTCCGAAAATTCCTGTTAAGTTTCAAGCCTTGGAACGACAACGTCAGTTTTAAATGTTTGGTCTTTTGCTACTGTTGTTGTTTAACCTTGGATGTATGCTCTTTGCCAAATATCATTTTATATATATTTTTTTCCATTTTGCTTTTAACAATAAACAATAAATTCAGAAATCCGTCTACTCAGCGGAAGCAAAGCATCGTTAGCAGCTGTGGGAATATTCTCATGGGTACTTCATCTCAAAGAGCTCCAGATTTCTACACCATTTTTTTATGACCAGACACTAACTATTTATGATTTTTAAAAATTTGTTGAATTATAATTAACCTAAGTAAGCTGCACACATATGTAAAGAATACCATTTGATATGCCTTGATATGTGTATACCTGGAAACCGTCCCTGTAATCCAGGTAACCAACGTAGCCATTACTTTGTAATCTTTCCAATTGCCATGGACCCTCCCAGACACGCGCTACTCACTACTTGCTATGTCGCTACAGATTCATTTGTATTTTCCTAGCATTTTGTTTAAACCAAACCACAGAATATGTCTCTTTTGTTTTGTTTTGTTTTCTTCTCGTTGAGTATAATTATTTTGAGATTTACTTATGCAGAAGCATGAGATAAAAGGTCATTTCTTCGTTTATGATGGACATTGAGGTTGTGTGCAGTATTTGGTTGTTACAAACAAAGCTGCAATGAATAGTGACTTGCACGCCTTTGTGTGGACCTGTGCTTCCAGCCCTCTTATCTACAAGGCATTGTTGCATACCCTTGCCAAGTATTTAAATTAATACTCTCAAAACCATTGTAAGGATTTACCATTTTATAGTTGAGGAAACTTAGATGCAGAGAGATTAAGGGATTTGTCTGGAAAACCCAACTAGCAAGAAGCTGAGCTGGAATACAAATCTAAGTATTCTGGCTCCAAAGTCTGGTCTCTTATCCTCTATTCTCTGCTATCTCAATATATGTATTTTTTGAGAATATAAGATGTAGTTCCTACAAAAACCCAAAAACTGGAGCTGGGGCTGTAGCTCAGAGTGCTTGTCTGGCTTGTGTGAGGCACTGGGTTCAATCCTCAGCACCAATAAAAATAAACAAATAAAATAAACGCATTCTGTCCATGCACAACTTCAAAAAAAAAGAAAAAAGAAAAAACGTTTGGAAAAAACATCAGAAGAGAAGGTGCTGAAGAAGAAAAAAATGGGCAATTATATCTGAGTCCTGGATGGAAAATCACAGTGCAGTTGCTCCTTAATGCAGGTTTTATCTCCTGTTGAGCTGCCACTCCCATCCGCCACTCAGTAGCATTTAGGTTCGGTGATGTTTAATGGTGCTTAGATATACACCCTGGTGATAAGTATATGGAGGTAGTATGAGACAGATAAGGAGCTTTACTTGGAAAAATGGGTTTTCCCCATAATGAATCAACATTTTCCTTGTGGAAAACACTCTCTCTGTCCAAGAGCGTGTCCCAGGAGCCACAGGAATAAAATCCAAAAAAAAAAAAAAAAAGAGAGAGAGAGAGATTTTTTCGACTTTCCTGGAGAAGAATTAGAACTTTGGGGAGATATTACAAAGGGAAGCATAGATTTCATTGAGATAAGAGTACAATATATGTTCTTTTACCCAGACATGCCTGGAACTTCAACACTGTGATACTAGAGAGTAATACCCTTAGGCATGGGGGTTTAAGTCAGTGGTAGAGCCCTTCCTTGGTATGCACGAAGCTGGGGGTTCAATCCTCAGCACTACCCTGCCCCCACACAAAAAAAGGTAGTACCCTGCTTTCCTGCTTGAGAACCCATCTAAGGGTCTCATCCAGGATCCTTTTTCTGAAACCCAATTAATTTTTGGCATTTAGATCTTGCCTTCTAACATTAATTCTTGGTTTTTATTGAAAGTAACAAACTACCCAATTCAAAAATGGACAAAAAAACTTGAATGACATTTATCCAAAGAAGATATACAGATGTCAATAAGCTCATGAAAAGACGCTTAATGCTTCTCATCAAATGCAATGCAAATCAAGGGCAATGCAAATCAAGATCACTGTGAAATGCTGCTTCACACACACTAAGATGGTAATAAGCAAACAGACGAAAGAAAAAAGGAAAAACCCTCAAAATATCAAGTGTTGGCCAGGACGTGGAGAAATTAGAACCCTTTCTCAAGAAGTTAAACATAGAAGTCTGATCCAGCAATTTTACCTTAGGGCATATACCCGAAAGAATTGAAAGTGAATCCTCAGGAGATTCTGCATGCCAAACTCACAGCTAAAGAGTGCACAGCAGCCAGAAGAGCGAAACATCCTGTCAAGCTGTCCGTCAACAAAGGAATGGATGAACAGAATGTGACTTATACATACAATAGACTGTTATTCAGCCTTTATAAAAGAAGGAAACTGACACAGGCTACAACAGTGGGGGGGCACTTTAAAACAAAATATTAAGTGGAATAAGCCTGACACAAAAAGATAAACCTTGTACAATCCTGCTTATAGGAAGTACCTAGGGTAGTCAAAGTCATAGAGAAATGAAGAAGCATTGTGGATACCAGGGACAGGGAAGTGGAGTAGGATGTGACTGCTCAGTGGGTAGAGTTTCAGCTGAAAATGACAGAGAAGTTCTGGAGAAGGTGGCAAGACAGTTGCACAATAAATAAAATTAATAAATAAAATTACTTAATGCCACTAAATTGTGCTTACTAGTGGTTAATAGGCTGTTTGATGATATGTATATTTTGCTACAATAAAAAATAACATAGGAATCACACGATTGTTGTAAAGCAAATATACAGTGCTAGAAAAATTATAAGGAAAAACATCAGTGTCCCTACCCTATATACCTCCTGTCTTCTCGTTTTTGCTCTTACAGGTAACTACTTTAAACTTTTTGCTTTTTATTTAATTTCATATTTATTACTAATAGCAGTTTATGGTGCTTTTCTTGATTTCAGACATTGTCTACTCATTTCTGGCTATCATGCATGCAGATTAAGTTTTCTTCATTTTCCTACTCCCCCTTTACCCTGCTCCATCTTTCCCAAAACCTTTAAGATCTTGCTTTCGTCCCTGGTTTGGAAAATTCCATGGCAAAATGCCAGGATGTGGGTGGGGTCTCTTCATTTATTATACTGCATACCCAGTGGGCCTCATTTATTGGCAGGAAATGAAAATCTGGAGATTGCCCTTGGGCTGTTTTCCATGGTTTTACAAATGTGTACTAGCTTAGGTCTCTCAGCTCCCCAAATTGGAAGGTATATTTGATATTTTTCTTCCTCCTTAGTACCTGACACAATATTAGCACTGGGTCAGCACCTGGGATCAAGAGCCATTGGTGGAAAAGCTAGACTTCTGGTTTGACAGCAATACTGCAAGAAGCAGCACTGACAGACACTTGAGACTTGGTGTGGTGGCACATAGCTGTAATCCCAGTGATTCTGGAGGCTGAAGCAGGAGGATCTCAAGTTTGGGGCCAATTGCTTCTCGGTCTTTTGGCTAAGATGAAGGGCAAGTTTAAGGCCAGTGCTGGCAACTTCAAGAAACCCTGTCTCAAAATAAAGTTGAAAAAGTGTTGGGGATGTAGCTTAGTGATAGAACACTACTGGGTTCAATCCCCAGCAAAATAAATAAATTAAAAATAATGTGATAACAGTTTCATTTTATAGGCAACTAGGTCCCTTAGGCCTGGGCTTGGACATGAGGTCAGCAGGTTTTTACCTTTTCTAGCCTCCACTCTAGACCCCAACCTCTTAGCCTGCTACATAGTTGGGTGAATTGTTAGGGCACAGACAACAGAACTGAGACTCCTCTTGTACTTGGAATTACAACCAAAGACTGGTGCTGGGAAAAGAAAGGTCTAGGACCTATAGTTGGAATTAACTGAGAAAAGCCTTTATGTCTCCTGGGAGTATGGGCTACTAATTATGTCTTTGTACTAATGTTTCCCCATGCCCTCAATTAATTCCTCAATGTCTTCTTCAGGATGTCATTGAAATCATTGCCACCCAATTTCTCCACCACACTAAACAGTTGGCTTTTCATCTTTTCACTGATTAGGAAATACTTAAAATGATTTTCATTATTTTCCCATAATTTTGTTTAAGACCTTCAGATCCAAAAGAGATGGAGTAACAAGAATCAGAAATAATATTAAAAACTTGGCAAAATATATAAACTTATGGCTTTTAAGGCCCTGAACATTGAGCAATAAAAGTCTGATTCCTGATAGATGGAAAAATAAACAAATTAAACCATACAAATGCCAGGGCTTATGGCCTGGAGAGAGTTTCCAGCCACAGTGCAGGAAGATGGAAACTAGGCAGAACCTGGCAGACATCCTGGCATGAGGGCAAACAGGTCCAGGGAGACCAAGGCAGCAGGGTTTGTGGGGCAGAGGATCAAGAACCCAAGATACTGTCACCTTGAGTTTTTGGCTGAGTACTGATCAGAGCATGCATGTGAGGACAAGAACCTCTTTCAGAAGTAGAGGGACCAGTGTGTGACATTCACACAGGGCTGGGGATAGTGCCTCTTCCCATCAGCTAGAATGGAAAATTTCACAAATCAGGGGGAAACTGGGTAGAGTACTCAGAAGGGTCTTGCCTCACTAGTGGAGGAAAAAATAGTCATGTTCTGGGCCTGCCTCCTAAATATTAAAAGTAAAATGTGCAAGGATTAATCTGTGTGCAATTTAATGCATTACAAAACAAAGATCAAAAATATTACAGGGTCTGGGGATGTGGCTCAAGCGGTAGCACACTCGCCTGGCATGCTTGAGGTTCGATCCTCACTCAGCACCACATAAAATAAAGATGCTGTGTCGGACGAAAACTGAAAAATGAATATTAAAAAATTCTCTCTCTCTTTAAAAAAAATTACAGGGGTAAAAATATATTTAGTACCCAACAAGGTAAAATGAACAATCTTTGCAAGTAATCAAAAATTACCAAGCATGCAAAGATGCAGGGAAACATAACCCCCAAATATTCTCTTGTTTCTTACAATATGTGTGAAGCATGATATCACTTGGATAAACTGATGAGTTAAAGTTGTATACTATAAACGCTAAGCACCACTAACGTGGAGTTATAGCTAATAAGCCAATAAAGGAGGTAAATTGAAACATAAGAAACAATCAAGTAAAAGACATAAAAGCCCACAAAAATAGGTGACACAAATGGAAAATAAATATCAAAATGATAGATTTAAATCTAACTACATCAATAGCCATATTAAATGTAAATAGCCTAGCGCTAGCTGCGGCCCGCAGCGTGCGGACAGCCCCTGCGCCCGTTGCGCTCTGCCCGCCGTGGCCCTGGCTGGTGAGGGCGGGCGCTGTTCGGACGCTGCGCACCGGACCCATTCTGCTCTCCGTGCGTAAATTCACAGAGAAACATGAATGGATAACTACAGAAAATGGTATTGGAACAGTGGGAATCAGCAATTTTGCACAGGAAGCTCTGGGAGATGTTGTTTATTGTAGTGTTCCTGAAGTTGGAACAAAATTGAAAAAACAAGATGAGTTTGGTGCTTTGGAAAGTGTGAAAGCTGCCAGTGAACTCTATTCTCCTCTATCAGGAGAAGTAACTGAAATTAATGAGGCACTTGCAGAAAACCCAGGGCTTGTGAACAAATCTTGTTATGAAGATGGTTGGCTGACAAAGATGACACTGAGTGACCCTTCRGAACTAGATGACCTAATGAGCGAAGAAGCATATGAGAAATATGTAAAATCTATTGAGGAGTGAAAATGGCACCCTAAATAAACTAGTGTGGAATAACTGCAGCAGTTGACTTATAGAAGACTTAAAAACTATTCTTAACAATGCTACTGGAAGAAGATACCCCTTAACTTCCCAATGACTGCCGAAAAACACAATATGCATCTTTTTTACAATTCCTTATGATTTTTAGAGTAGGCACTAGGTTGATATCAGAATTCATGAAATTATCTGTGGTAAAAATACTTATAAAAATAAGTATGTAATTCAAGGATAATCTTGTTATAAGCCTAATATAATACTGTAACGTGCTTACATCCATCCCTGGATCTGGGTCAATATACTTAATTATCTTCCACTTGAAAAAAACTGGACATAGAGGAAAGTGTATGTTGTACAGTGTCAGAGAACAATACAATCTTAATTTTATAATGTACTGCATTCACTGGTGTTATTTTTATACACTGAAACAGCAGCTTGCAACAAAATAATAAAATATTCAACTTCCTTAAAAAAAATGTAAATTGCCTAAATACCCTGATTAAAAGGAGGAGAATAGTAAAATTGGTCAAAAAAAGCAAGATCCAACTATGTGTTGCCTTAAAAAAATTCTAAATATTAAGACACAAATATATTAGAATAAAAAAATGGAAAAAGATATGTCATATTAATACTGGTCAAAAGAAAGCCAAGTGGGGCTGGAGATGTGGCTCAAGCGGTAGCATGCTTGCCTGGCATGCGTGCGGCCTGGGTTCGATCCTCAGCACCACATCCAAAGGTGTTGTGTCCGCTGAAAACTAAAAAATAAAAATTAAAAATATTCTCTCTCTCTCTCTCTCTCTCTCTCTCTCTCTCTCTCTCAATCTCCTCTCTCTCTTTTTATTAAAAAAAAAGCCAAGCAGCTCTATTAATGTGAGACAAGATAGGTTTCAAGGCAAATATTACCATGTTTAAAGAAAATCATTTCTTTTTTTAATATTTATTTTTTAGTTGTACACAACACCTTTATTTTGTTTATTTATTTTTATGTGGTGCTGAGGATCTAACCCAGGGCCTCACATGTGCTAGACGAGCGCTCTACCACTGAGCCACAACCCCAGCCCCAAGAAGGTCATTTCATTATGGGAGAGTCAATTAATCAAGAGTAAGAATGATCCTAAATGTTTATTTACCCATTAACAGTAGGGTATGTAACATAGAACTGCAAAAGAGAAACAGACAAATCACAATTCTGGCCAGATATTTCATTACCATTATCTAAGTAATTGACGGAATGAGAAGACAATCTGCAAGTATAAATTTGCTTTGAACAATACTGTAAACCAACTTCTTCTCCCATTTATAGAATGTGTCCCTCAACAACAGCAGAATACATATTCTTTCTAAGTGTACTAGACTATTTACCTGATAGATTGTATTCTAATGCAAGAGGACTTAAGTCATAAGTATTTCCTTTGAGCACAAGGGAATTAAATTAGAAATAATAATTATAGTTGAACTATAGAGTTGTTTCAGCCTTGAGTGCATCTATTGCTTATATAATTTGATTCCTCCAAATTAAGTTTGGGCACATTTTATTTCTTATATGGATGAAGATTTTGATGGATAAACTGAATGGAGTAAGTTGCTAGATGTATCTAATAGGTAAGGGGTAGATAGCTGGAAAAGTGATAAACTTGTGGAACTGTGAGTGTGGGTGAGACATAGTGTACTATTCATTTGGGTCAATGAATGAATGGAAACATGTATTGACAGTTATGCAACTAAATTTTTATTCAACTAATTTTTATCAGCTGCAGGTGCCTTCACGTGTTATCTTGTTCTCTTTTCCCAACAAACCTCTGAGGTTGAATTTATTTATTGTCTGATTCTTTGAGGCAAAGGGGAAATGGAAAGAAAGACAGAGAGAGAGAGAGAAGAAAGTTCAAGTCTCTTAGTTTGTGACTCCAGCCTTCAGCCTTTCCTGGTGAAGTCCTGGCTGCCTCTCCTTCCCTCCCTCCCATGATTCCTGAGCCGGCTGACCTGCTGACACTGCCCATACTCAGGCAGTTGGTGCAATCCTGGGGCTTTCTGGATGCTCTCCTCCCCTGTGCGTCTGCGCAGCTCTGTGCCAACCTCTGCAGACAATGGTCCTGTGTCCTGTGGTCCTGCGTGATGGGCAGCCTCCGGGGCTCTTGCACACTGAGTGCCAGGATTTCCGGTACAACATCTTTTTGTGAGAAGGCCTTCTGATGGATGTGATTGGATTCCTGACCTTGAGGACTGAATCAGTTTGAGATGGTAGAGAAGTTCAAGGAGCTCCCAGAGTAAAGGTCTCTGTTCTCAGGGACCCCCTAGTGTGTCCTTCGGAAAGTTCCAGCCCAATGAATACACAACAGTGTACAATGACCTCCAGGATATGGTGAAGCCAAGTCTAGAGAATGAGAAGATAAGTCATGGTCTGGGAGAAGATACTAACAAAACACATACCGGATAAAGGACTGTGGTCCAAAATATATAAAGAACTCTTAAAGTTCAACAACAAACAACACAATTTTAAAACTAGCAAATGACCTAACACCTCACCAAAGAACATACACAGATGTGGCAGGTAAGCATACGAAAAGATGTTCAACATCAAATTTTATTAGGGAGTTGCAAACTGAAGCAACAAGGGGATAGCACTGGCTTGCCTGTTAGAGTGGCTGAAGTCTAAGCAGACAACATTAAGTGCAGGTGAAGATGTGGAACAATGGGAACTCTGATTCACAGAGTTGCCGCTTTGGAAGCAGATTGGCAGTTTCTTCTAAGCTAACCATATTTTATCGTATTATCCCACTCTTTGGTATTTATTCAGATAAAATGCAAATTTGTTTCCTACAAAAACCTGCACACAGCTGTTTGTAGCAGCTTTATTTGGAATTGCCCACACTTGGCAGCAACCATCCTGCCTTTCAGTAGATGAGTGGATACACTGTGGTATTTCCTGATGATGAAATATTACTCAGTGCTAAAAAGCAATGTATAATCAGTTTGCAGAAACGCATGAGGAAACTTATATACGTATAACTAAGAGAAAGAGGCCAATGTGAAAAGTTCACTATGATTCCGACTCTGTAACATTCCAGAAAAAGCAAAACTATGAAGACAGTAAAAAGATTAGTGATTAGGAAAGGAAAAATAAGAAAGAAGAGAGTAGGATTTTTCACGGTAGTGAAACTGCTCTGCGAGCTCTAACCGTGAACAAGTGTCATTGGACACTTGTCCAAAACCATGGAATGTATGCCACCAAGAGTGAACCCTAACATCCATCCCGGACTTTGATTGACAATAATGTTTCAACACAGCTTCATCAATTTTAACTAAGATACCTCTGCCTGTGGGATGTTGATGGTGGTGGTGGGGGGTGCATTGGGAACTCAGTACTCTCTGTTGAACTGTGAATCTGAAACTGCTCCAAAAAAAAAAAAAATCTGTTCAAAAATTAAAACATAAGAAAACAAACATAACAAAGTAAAACCAAGCAAGTTTACTCATAATAGGCAAAAAAAAAAAAGCTGGAAAATATTCAACAAGGAAAGGATAAATAAATTATGGTTTTTGCATCTGTTGAAATTCTACTTAACAATAGAAAAGAAAGAAGATACAAAATGGATAAAACTCAATGAAATTTGGCTCAGTGAAATAGCCAAACACAAAAGTTATACCGTACAGTGTCACATTTTAGAATAGGCAAAACTAACCTAAAGGGAGGGAAACAGATATCGGTCACCTGGAGGTGAGGATGAGGCTGGGGATTGATCAAAACTGAGGGATGCTTATTGAGGGGAACAGAAATTACTTGCTAATTACTTGGCTGTAAATTTTTTTTTWAAACTCATTGAAGTGTATACTTGAAATAGGTGCATTTTATTATAATGTAAATTATACCTCCAAAAGTTTATTAAAAAATGAGACCATAGCCCATGCTGGTAATCCCAGGAACTTGGGAGGCTGAGGCAGGAGGATCGAAAATTCAAAGCCAACCTTAGAAACTTAGGGAGGCCCTAAGCAATTTAGTGAGACCCTGTCTCAAAAAATGAAAAGGGCTGGGGATGTGGCTCAGTGGTAAGGTGCCCCTGAGTTCAACCCCCAGTACCAAAAGAAAGAGAAAGACCACAAAAAAAATTTATAAGAAAACTTGAGAGACTTTAATATATATAATTTGGGGATGAAGAAGACTTGTCTAAACATGGCACAAAGTCTGGACAACATTAAAGATTGATGCCTGCAATTACCGAAATGAGAAGTTCCCGAATGGGAAAGAAATAATATGTGCAAAGTAAGAAAACAGGTGACAAACTGGGAAAATATTTGTAACTTGGTTTTTCTTGTTCTTAAAGTACTGCAATTGAAACTAGGTATGAATACAAACCTGTGTTGTTTGAAGGCTGAGCCCTACGAGGGAGGTAAGRTGCCTGAGTCCTGAGGATTGCAGGTGGTGACCACGGTTGGGCTGGGTTGTTCTGGAGGGCTGGATGCTGGAGGCAGTGGTTGGTAGTGACTGGGCCTGTCCCTCTGGGCAGCCCCCCACCTGGGACTGAGAGGAGCAACCATAATAAACTCCTCATCACACCTTGGTGTCCCCTGGCATGCTGCTCCTACTGGTGACACTGACCTCACATGCTGGATTTAGGCTAATGGTGCAGATCCAGATTCAACAGGGAGACTCTGGGAATCCAAGGTTTTTATCCCCTCCTTCCTTCTCCCGGTGTTTTGATCAAGATGTAGGAAAAATTCCTTTCTTCTGAGTTTGAATTGAGGTCTCCCTAATCACATCTGGAAAAGGAAACAAATGGGGCTGGGGCTGGGCCTCAGTGTCAGAGCGCTTGCCTAGCACGTGAGAGGCCCTGGGTTTGATCCTCAGCACCACATAAAAATAAACAAATAAAATGAAGGCATGCCATCCATCTACAACCACACACACACACACACACACACACACACACACACACACCACACACACACACACAGGAAATCCCGGTGCACAGATGCCCTCCTCCCTGGCCTGATGCTCCAGCGTCTTCTAGAAACCTAGCCA